TTGCTCTGCATGTTTGCTTTTACATAAAATTCTCTAGTCAAAAATAATTTTGTAAATTTATTTGGAAACTTACAGAAAGCAAAAGAGAAATAAACTATTCACTTGCAAATTCAATCCTGCATGTAGAGTGACGCACCACCTTGCTCTCACCACTACCCCAGAGTCCAGCATTCATACTGGCGAGTATGATGAGTAACTACTTAATCAGTGGGTGAGAGAACTTCTGGCTTGTGTGAGAAGCTTCGGTTATTATCAAAAGCCTTATGGAGCCTTGCAGGCTCATGCCTGTAATCCTAGCTACTCAGAAGCTAAAGTCTAAACAACTCAGTAGTTTGAAGCCAGCCCAGGCAGAAAAGTCCATGAGACTCTTATCTCCAATTAATGACCCAAAAGCCAGCTGTTGAGTTGTGGTTCATGTAGCTGGTGTAGCACCAGCCTTGAGTGAAAAAGCTAAGGGACAAGCAGGTGCTGGTGGCTCATGCCTATAATCGTAGCTACTCAGGAGGCTGAGATCTGAGGATCACGGTTCAAAGTCAGCATGGGCAGGAAAGTCCGTGAAACTCTTTTATTTTTTTGGGACCGGTCGTGGGGCCTGAAATCTGGGCCTGGGCTCTGTCCCTCAGCTCTTCAGCTCAAGGCTAGCACTCTACCACTTGAGCCACAGCGCCACTTCCAGCTTTTTTCTTTTTGCTTATGTGGTGCTGAGGAATCGAACCCAGGGTCTCATGCATGCAAGGCAAGCGCTCTACCACTGAACCACCTTCCAGCCCCTCCGTGAAACTCATCTCCAATAAACCACCAGAAAACCGGAAGTGGCTGTAATTCAAGTGGTAGAGTGGTCGCCTTGAGCTGAAAAGCTGAAGGACAGTGCCTTGGCCCAGAATTCAAGCCCCACGATGAGAATTCAGGCCCCATGACCAAAAAAAAAAAAAAGCTAAGGGACAGTGCTCAGGTTCTTCTGAGTTACATCCACAGTCAAAAGCTTTTCAAAATTGAAAGGATGTGCTTGGAGCTGGTGGCTCACATTGGCAATTCCTAGCTACTCAGTAGGCTGAGATCTGAGGATTGTGATTCAAAGCCAGGGCTAGGAAAGTGGCTCAGTGGTAGAGTGCTTGCCTTGCACGCATGAGGCCCTGGGTTTGATTCCTCAGCACCATATAAACAGAAAAGGCTGGAAGTAGTGCTATGGCTCAAGTGGTAGAGCACTAGCCTTGAGCTGAAGAGCTGAGGGACAGCACCCAGACCCAAGTTCAAGCACCAAGACCAACCTCCCCCGCCCCCCCACCAAAGCCAGTGTGGGCAGGAAAGTCTATGAGACTCTTATCACCAATTAACCAATTCAACAAAGCAGTTTATGAATACAGTGTGCCTTGATCAATGTCACTTTTCAACATTGTTGACATTGGGAGTGGAACTGTGGATCAAGTGTAGCCTTCAGCAAAAAAAAGCTCAGGGAATAATAGCACCTAAGCCCTGAATTCAAGCCCCAGGACTGGCGTGTGCACATGCACATCCAAGCTCATGTGCAATCACACGCGTGCGTGTGGGCACACACACACACACACACACACACACACACACACACACAGAAAATTGATAGGATGAAGAGTAATCAGTTTAAGATTGAGAATAGGGGAACGTGGTGTCCCTGCATATCAGCAGACCTAGGTAAATACCCCCTTCTAAAGACTACAAGACTCCAAAGACTACAAGACTCCAAATCCTAGCAGAGACAAGGGCTCTTACAAAGTTGTGCCTACAGTTCATTAGCTCTTACTCTACCTATTCTGAGTAAAGCAAAGAGACTTTGAGCTTCCAGTCTTTTGCATATACAAAACAGCAGGTCCAATGAATCCTGTAAGTCATATCCATGACAATAACAGAGTTCCTGGAACGTGTATTAGAAAATGTAGGGTCTGGTCAGCTACAAACATGGTTCTCATGAGTTGTTACAATATCTTGTGCCCTTTTCTCTCTTGGGTTCCGACTTCTGACCTTCTAAAAAAGATTACTGTTAACCCTGGAGGGGGCGGGAAATCCTAAACTCTGTGGTAGCAAGATTTCTGTCCTCTTTAAGGGTTATAAAGAAAGAAGAGGAGGGCTGGAAGGGGTTGGTGAGAATGTTGAAAAGTGACATTTATCAAGACACACTGTATTCATAAACTGCTTTGCTGAATAGCAACTCCTTTCTACAACTACTTAAAGATAATAAAAAAAATCAAAAAAGAAAGAAAGAAGCAAATATTCTTTCTTAATAAAACCTTTTCAGCTCACTTGGAGGGAATATCCTTTTAGAGAAAAGAAATTGACAATCTCATGCTCACAAAAGCATAGGTGCACTCCCTTGTCATTGGGACTTGAGCACCATTCCAAAATAATGACACTGCTCATGTATTTTCTCTTTCATAGACAACCTCAGATATGTCTCCAATTCAATTACTGAAAAACCTTTCCTAGTCACGTCAAAATGAAACATCATGCTTCAAGAGCCTACGTTTTTAAAAACAGGCTCAAGCAACCTGCTAGTTTAGCAGTCAGTTCAAAGCTGTCTAACTTCTCCAGCACAGAAGGAAGAGATTCAGAGCCTTTTCCACCGCCAGTGGCTTTACGAAAGGGTCCCTAAATAACAACCCCATCTTGGGGAAATTACAAACCTGAACAGAAAACAAAACATGACAAGAAGAAAACAACAACACACATAAAACCTCCTGCCTTACGTCCTCAAAAGGCCATCTTTAATTCTGCCTCCTTTCTACTTTTCTCTCCTTCTGCTCCTCACCCTGCTTGTCTCATCAAGCATACCATTTTATATATAACAAGCATGCACAAAGCCAACTTCTAATCATCTGAACAACAACAAAGATCTATTACATTTATTCCAAAATAAACAATACCAACTTTTTCCATTTACCCAAAACACAGACCAGCAGCCTAAAACAGAACAAATTGATTTTTTGTTGTTGTTTTTCTCTTTACCTTTACAGTACAGAATCCAGTGATAAAAGCCTCTGTTTATAATGGAAGGTTTATTTTGTGATCTAGAGCTTCTCACAATGTTATTATGTTAATTCAACTTACAAAGAAAGTGTATATGTATCAAGTTGTCATGTCGAAAACGAACTTTACAACTTTGGTGGGGGGGGAGGATTGGGTGGGGGGGGGCAGGGGGAGGCTGGGAAGGGATGGGAAGGGGAAACAAAGGAGGAGGCTACAATGCTTGATAAGAAATGTACTCACTATCTTGCCCATGTAATTGTAACCCCTCTGTACAGTATTTTCACAATAAAAAAGAAAAAAAAAGCAAGTGTATATGTAGTATTTTTTAACCTTATTTTTCAAAACTCTTGAGGAAGCAAATAATCACTTTTGACTTGTTCCTCATGTAATCCTCCACTGTGGACGGTATTTATTGCCAGTACCTCACCTCCGGGAGTGGAACACGGTCCACATCACTGAAGGCACGGTGCGGCTCCCTGGTGCAAATTTCCTGAGAGCTCCTTTCCTCAGCATGTGCCAAGAATCAAATCTTGGCCACTTAGTGCTTCGTGTTCCACATGTGAGCTCACGATGTGTTCAACAGCCCTGCTAACTGAGATGGATAGCCCTGTCAAACAGGAAGCTGGCACACCAGGATGCAAGCAGTGGATACAATGACCTTTACATTCAAAGAAAAACATCCCTAAAATGGCATGAAAAGTTTCTGGGAAGGGAGGGAGAGGGGGTTCTTTTATTTCATTTATGCACATAGCATGAAATAAAATCAATGGTATTCAGTAGGCAATTTGCTTGGGATCAAATCCTGAATCCCTCACATATGGAAGAGAGTTGTTGAGGAATGGGAATGAATCATCCTTTATCACACTTTTTGAAAGCACTGACTCTATAGCTCAGCTGTATCACTGCACCCAAACTGGCCAAGAGATTGGCTGTAGACTGCACTTGGACTGGGGGTGATGTGCTGGGTGACACACTATTAAATCCAATGTCATTGGTTACTATATTTGTCATTCTGTATAAATGCCTAATCTCTCAAAGCTTCTTTATCAGAATAAACGAAGCTTTGACAGTCCTTAGGAATGATATGAAGAACTCAAAAATTAGCAAACAGTCTTAGCATCTACAATAATGCTAAGAAAATACTGTAAAGTAGGAAATATATAAAATAAAATGTATATATGTAAGTTACATATTTCCTGTAGTTATAACTATAATCACAAACTATACAATTCAATCATTTCAACTGGAAAATGAAAATAATAATTCCTGGGTAAAAATATTACCTTTATTCAAGGTTTGGGGGCTGTTTGTGTGATTTGTTTTGTCAATTCTTTGGCATAAAAGAACAATGGTCTATGCTTCAGAATGAAACAAGAGAAAATCACAATGAGTTCCCCAGTATTATACACTGAAATAATGATGCAATTTTAGTAGTTAATTAAATAGGTAAAAGGAAGTGATTACAAACACATAGTGATTTTTTTTCATGAATGGACCACATCAAAATGAAAGAACAGTTTTCAAAGATACAAAAGACTAAGATGCATCCATTTATCTCTGTTTAATTAAAAACTGATCATAAACTGCAGAAGCCAGAGGACCAAAGCAATAAATAAATTTAGAAAGCAAAATTCATAGAAATCACATATGAAGGTTTACATAAAATGGGAGTCAAAAATCCCAGCACTGGCCCTGAGACCACGAATTTGCTCCCTTGAGAAAAAAGAAACAAAATTATTTTTAAAAAAAACAAACAAACACAAAAACAAAAATAGGATTCCTTTGAAATGCAAGTCAATTTTGGTGACTATACAGGTACTGGTCAAATGTTTCCTACAACAAGAAGAAATAAGGTTCTGCAAAACACATCTTACTACTTACTGTTTGATACAAATGCTAAACCTGACAATTCTCTTACAAGCCTTGCTTAGGGAATTATTTCTAAGAACCCGCTCTTCTTTAGATCATAGGAGGCTTGGAGAAGACCGGAGATGTCTGAATACCTTGGGCTTGAGCTGCAGAGCTGTGGGAATACCCCAGGGCCAGGAGTGCCGTCTCCACCAGCTGGCTGAAAAGCACATCTTTCCTCACCAAGACAAACTCAGCATGTTCTTCTCTGTTGTCATATTCAAGAGAGCCATCCAACTGCTCCACCACACAAAAGACAGGAATCATCAAACCTGGAGAGAGAGGATTCAAGAGCAAAACATAAGTATTACAAAGCAAATCTGAGTCACCATGATGAAAAGAGAAGAGATAGTTGCAAAAGTCGCTCATCTGTGATCAGTAGTGGTTTAGAATCAACAGGTCTCTTATTCCTATGAGCCTAATGGAAATGTGTAGGTTTTCCCTTCCCATTATCACTGTCAGACCACAACAGAAACACTGGTGGCTATGGCAGAAGCCCTCAGATTCTAGCACTAGGTCCTACCCTCAGCATTCAGTGAACTCCAGGTGATCTTATAGACCCCAGAATCTTCAGTGGCTCTTCTTCGCTCATTACCTACTTGCTAGTACATCAGTATTAGCATTTTCTAACCAGATTTACTTGTATTTTCAGTTTCTACTTTAAAGACACCAGGGGAAAAGGTGACAGTGTTTTAGTTCAAGGCCCTAGGTGTTACATGGATATGTATAAGAAAGTCAACAGAAATCCCTCTTGCAGGCTTTAAAAAAAAATCCTGGCTGAAAATATTTTGATCATGAAAAGTTTTAACTCACGTTTAACTTTTATAAAATAGTCATCCAAATATAAAACTTGTTCTCTTTAGAATTATTATTTTATATATTAACACCAGTTACAACTGGGAAAAAATGACTATTTTTTTCTTATGTTTGCAGAGTAAAGAAGTAAACTACCCTACAGAATAAAGCAAATTAGTCTAGTTGAAAATCTGTTGAAATCTGTTGTCACTGAAATATTTCTCTGCTTTGTATCAAAGTGTGAAAAGCTAAAAAATGTTTAATTCACTAAACAGTTTTAAGATGTTTTTATTTTTTTTAAAGTCATACAGGAATTTGTATCTAAACATAGCGAAAGCAGAATAAGATCAAAAGCTTTACTAACATATAAGTAATAAACATGGACTCTGTCCTATGTAATTTCCACAAATTATTATGTTACAGAATAAGAATCTGCTCTGAGTCTTCTCTTGATACAAAAAAGATCAAATGTGATGAAGAATGGGTGGGCAAGAGGAGAAGGGCATGTGAAGGGCATGTGTGATAGTCATGTAGAAGGCATAACAATGCCTTGAAATGACAATGAAGACAAATCCTCTACAAAGTTATTAGACCAGAGTAAAGCCCTGACACACAGGACTTTTCCAGAAGTCCCTCCCTGTTGCCTGACCCCAGACAGCTCCTGACTCACTCTGATCTGAGGAAAGAGGGTGGGAGCAGACACAGATTCAGGTTTTTGTTCTAAAGATAATACAATGGTGCAACTGGTTCCCATGTGCTAATTATTATTATTAAAGATAATAAGTATTGGGTGTAATTATTAAATGCAATCATTATTAACAATAATAATACTCATTAAGAATTGTTATCATTAAAGATCATGGTAATTATTATTAAGACTGAAGAACACACTAACAAGTCTTACCATACTATACTTGAGACAACTATTGACTCAATGTCCACCTTGAGAATACCAAGGCAACATTATTGTCCACAGCAAATGTATTACCCATAGGGTAGATTTAAGGAAAATACGAGGTAACAGTGAAATAGGCCAATTTTTAGGCTAAAGAAAGGACTTAACCTGCCGTATGATGCTCTATAAAATGTAATTTTTCATTGTGACCATCACTGATATATGAAATGTTGGTTTATTTTTACTAAATTTATTCCCTAATGTGATGACGGCACGTATGAAGTAATAAAAATTAGATATCCCCACCACCACCACACACACAGATTATCCCTGTAATCATTTCTTTTCCAGCCTTCACTCCATGTATCAGGCATCAACCATGTCTCCAGAGATACAAGTAAGAACAAGTCTGCTGTGGCTCCTGGACTCCATGTGGCCAAGAGCTTTATAAAATCTTCCTGAACAAGCATAAAACTATTTTATAGGACTCATTCATAAAAGACCTCCCTTACAGGAGAATAGCCCCTGTTTAGACCTTTTAACTCTTCCATACTGGTATATGATCTTTGTCCAAGGCAGCAGGTTGATTTCAGTGAATTAAGCATGAGCACACAGAGGGCCACATAGCCAGTGGTGCTACTTCACGACTAATACCTGTGTGTACATAAGTTCCAATGCTGAAAATCCATGTACTGTCCCTAATGTCAGCATCTGAGTGTCACACAACTGAGAATCAGATAAGACCTTTAGATGAATCCAGTTGCCCCGTAAGCTATCATATGCTCATTACTTAGGCACCATAAATCTTTCTCAATCTACTTTCAACTGAGAAAACTCAAGACCTTACTAATTTTTAAAGATAATAATTTATTAACAATTCAATCAATTAGATATGAAGCATAAGATAAAGGCTCAGGGACCTATTTATTCATGTAGGGACTTATGCTTTACAACTATTAATAGGTGAAGTATTTCCTAAGCATTTTAGTTCAGTGATTGAAGGAAGCAACTGTTAGCTGACATAAGAGCAACAACTCCTTACAGACGAACAGCAAACACCACTGCCACTCAACAGCCATAACCTAATTTGTTTTTTTAAAAGAGACTTCAGGATCACTTATACAATAAAACAATACTAACTAGGAATACATAATATAGGACTATTCTGAAGCATATATGTCTATGAGGACACTAAAGAATATGATAATAGGGCTGACACCTAGGAGACTGAGGCCAGAGGATTTCAAGTTCCTGACTAGACTGGGCTTCATAGTGGGACACTGTCTCAAAAGAAAAGTCATAATAGGTTGCATAAACATATACACATATACGCGTACATACATATGTACATTTATAGACATAAACATAGCTATATCTTGTTAACTGGAGCCTGAGCTGGCTTTGAACCAGGATCCTCAGATCTCAGCCTCTTGAGTCGCTAGTGTTACAGGAATGAGCCACCAGCACCTAGCATCCTAGCATCAATTTTCTTTTTTGTGTGTGTCCAGTCGTGGGGCCTGAACCGCTGGGCCTAGGCGCTGTCCCTCAGCTCTTCAGCTCAAGGCTAGCGCTCTACCACTTGAGCCACAGCGCCACTTCCAGCTTTTTTCTTTTTGCTTATGTGGTGCTGAGGAATCGAACCCAGGGCCTAATGCATGCAAGGCAAGTGCTCTACCACTGAGCCACCTTCCCAGCCCCTAGCATCAATTATCTAGGGGTTATATTTAAACCTCTAGGGAAAAAAAAATCACCTTCTTACTAGAATCCTATCAGTGTAAATAATTATGATTTTACAATAAAATTGTTTTTTATCAATAATTACGATTTTACAATAAAATTGTTTTTATCAAAGAAGAGAAAGATAACAAAAATAGATGTAATTACTGGTAACAATGAAAAGAGAAATAAATACAGTAAAAACAATGCAATTGAGGTCAACCATGGAAAGAGGAGAATTAAGGCACTGTTTTATAAGGCCTTTAAAATAGGACACCCTAAGGGAAACAAAACATTAAAGGTAAAATATACATTATCCATTTGGTCCTACCACTCTCCTTAAGCAAAGGGGAGAAAAAGAAATGAAAGAGGGAGAAAATAGATGGAATGCTAGAGAGGGTGTTCAGAAAGTATTTTAAAAAAAGAATTTTAAATTGAAAAGAATTTAAAGACAAACCCCAATAAAAGAACAGCAGTTGGGAAAACTAAATGCACTTACAACAAACTGAAAGATGATGAAGAAACAGAGAACAGAAAAACTGTGGTTCTGGCCCTGTATATTTTGAGCTTATGGCATCATTTTTCTTTTATTGTAACACAAACCCGTTTCCAGATGATCATTTGGAGAACTTTGGACTTTTTCATCATAAGCCTGGTTAAGCCATTTACAATTGTAGGGGGTACACAGGTAGTTTAATCTAGAAGACAGGCACTTAGGCCCCAGCCATTTGCTAAAAATCAAGACTTGTTCTGACACCCAGGGATATGTAAGGAATTTTGTAGTCACAGAGGTTAAAAAAAAAAAAAAGCTTATAATCCTCTCTCCACTAGAAAAATACTTTTTCCCCACTATCATTAGTGATGATGCTGAAATTGCCATTTTCATTATATTATTTCTGAAGACGTGTGTAGAACTATAGAGCCATTGATATTGCCTCTATCCAGTAGCCTGGGAGTTGGCTGGCTACAGATGATTGGGTCCTGCCTGACCTATCACTCCTGTCCTGTGTAAGGAGTGGGGGGTGGGGGGGAATATCCAGCCTTTCCAAGTCTCTGACTGTTTCTAGCTACATCCTAGAGTTGCTGTATTAAACAATGTTACATATCTCAGTTTTTGATACATACTTCTTAATTAATGAGGATCTGCCTAGCAAATGTGAACCCGATTTCAAAACCCCAGCATCGTGAAAACAAAAAACTTAAAAATAAGTAAGTGAAAATAAAAAATAAATAAAAACTTCAACCAATAGAATTAATTTTTCTCTTTTCAAGACCAATCAATACTGTTTTATACAGGGGAAAAAGAAAACAAATTTTTCAACTATTTTTTATTAACAATGCTTATGATACTAAAAGGTCTTTCTTTGGAATGAAAAGTATACTAATAGTCGCTGAATGGCCTAATCATTGAATATTCTAACAATACTAAGTAACTATAGAATGAACTGTTATACAAATAATATTAGCTCAAAATGTTCAACAGAAAAAAAGGTGTTTAGAAGCACTACACTTCATGCTTTCAGTCTGACTATCCAATACTCTAATCACAACTTCTGGCTATTAAGCTCTGAAAATATCACTTGGCATGAACTGAGATTTATATTATGGCAAAATACAGATTTGATTTCAATGGTTTAATACTAAAAAGCAATAAAATATATCTAATGTTTAATAATTAACTGCAGTATACAAATAGTTTTGGTATATTGAGCTAAATAAGTTACTGAAATTAATTTCCCTGTTCTACTTGTTTTAAATGGAGCAAGCAGAAAATTTAAAATTATTCATTGGTTATATTTCTATCAAGCATCATTACTCTAAGCCATCTGCTAAACAGCAACACAAACAATAGTGTTGGGGGAAAAC